CCATTTAAAGTTCATTGTTATTTTTACTATTTTCATTATTTTTATAACAGCATGTTTGAAAAAAAATATATCAGTCAAGGGGAAGTAATTATCCCCCAGTGCGAATTCATGTTTTTTTAAGGCCCATTATGTTACATAAATGTTTCTAATTTTTTGAGGCACAATGTGCCTTTAAGTAAATATATATGGGCTCATTATCGACACAGACTTTAAAGGTAAAGATATTTTATTTTAACTAATTAACTGATGAGTTTTTATGCACATGGGGAATCAGTACCAAAAATCTAAAGATATTATTATACATACAAATAATCATGGTCAAATATAGAACATGTAAACATCATAGCAAACGCATATACAATTCTGCGTCTAGCGAGGGAAAAAAAATCAACTTCAACGTAGATCTATATAGTGTATAATTAAATGATTTATTGTAATTCTAACAAGGAAAAAAACAAAAACAACAACAACATTTTGAACTACAGTGTACAAAACATGAACAGTGATTCTTGAATTCTTAATATCAAAATGATATTTATTTTAAGATTTTTAACATTAAAAAATAATGAAACTGATGCATACTATCGCATACTGTCGTCTGCATATAAATTTGTCGTCTGCTTCATAATTATGTTATCGTTTTATACAAAAATAGAACATATTTTGAAAGTTAAGACAGATATCCGGATACATAAAACAGTCAATGAGTTCAATATTATGATATATTGTTAAAGTTTTTATTTACATAAGATTATTATTAAACATTAAACCCTCATTAAACATATTTGATATAGTACACGTGTACTCATGATTTTAAATATGCGATATCTTTACTACATAGTATTTATGTTATAATTTTTTACTTATTAACTTTTAACTCATAATTTTAAAGTCAATTTTAAATACAAAAACACAGCATATACATAAACATATTTCGTCATCTAAAAAGTGTAATAGTCATTTACAGCTGAAATTCATTATCTTATAATTGTACATTTTCATTGTTTATAGTCATGGACATTGTCACTTTGTCTGCGTACCTACTTTCCTGTTCTATCTTACGTTTCTCCGGCCAGTCTTTCCGTAACCAATACGCAAAGTCACGTTGTTTGATTTGGAAAGTTCGGTTCTCAAGTTTGCCGTTTTTTTCCTGGAGCCCTTTTACTGACGAAGATTTTTCCGTTTGAATACCAAACATCGTCTACTTCTTTATCTCTATCCTTGAGTCAAATAGACTGTAAAACTTGTTGATTAAGCCTGGTTAAGTCATGACTTATCGACATTCCTGAATTTTTCAACTCCTTCACATTTTTCATAACTGTTCCCTTTACTTCCCTGCGAACAAACTGCACTATCGTTGGTCTGGTTCTACCCGGTAGATATCGGCCCAGTCTGTGAGCGATACTGATATCATTCATTGTGAGGTTGATTTTCAGCTGATTATTCAATTCAGTAACTACCAGTTCAGCTGTCATGCTCGATGTCTGTTTGGGATCGTCGTCTTTGAGGCCATAAAAACGAATATTGTTCATTCTACTGTATTGTTCTGCGTCGTTTTGCGCCCCTTCATTGTAATTAATTTCTCTGTTAAGTCTATCTCTCATTTCTATATCTTATAATGCTTACGGGAAAGACCGTAGTTGATAATGCTGTTAGAACTTGCTGTCCAAGACTTTTACCCTTTGTTAATCAAAGCACTGAACGCACTGAGGTTTACATTGCTTGATAATATAACCCATTTTTGTCATCAAAGCCATGTTGATTTTAACCTACTGACCTCAAAATTAATAGAGGTCATCTTCTGGCTAAGGTCAATGTCCCTAACAAGTGACTCAAACTAAGGCTTATTTCTTCCAAAATTATTAATGAGACAAGGAAATGATGTGATGTGATGTTCCAACTATGTATTGCTAGGCAAGCTGATAGATTAGCAATAAAGAAATCAGTTTGTGAAACACCCGTTAATGGACTGCAGTGTAGAAAATTGAAACATTTATATTGAATCTTTAGTGATGCTATCTAATGAAGGACATGACATGGTTTGAACTCTATACACAGTCAATTAATTGAATCATCCTACAAGACTTAATTACCAAATCATAGTACATCCTTTTGTATAGCTTTCCATGTTACAGATCTATGAACTGTACTTTGATGCAATAATATATAATATTCTGGTGTGTTGTATTCATCTCTACACGTTAATTTTCAAATGAATTACTGTATCGTTTATTAATAAAAATGATATATATAATCAAATCAATTTCTGATGTACTTTAATATTTTCATTATTCAATAATTGTTAAATAAAGTCTGCACATACAACCTTTCCAACAAATTCATTTATATTGGGCAGAAAGTTAACAAGGACTTTTTCCATACTCAGGCTATGTGACCAACTTCTTAACTCTAGATGAACCATACACAATATTGAGCTAAAAACATTTTTTTCTATTTTTGGCTACTGTGACATTCTTCTGATTTTCAGCCAAGATGATCCATGTTCAAACTCAGAACAAAATCTGTCACACACATTCTTACCAAGTTTGGAGACAATTGAGGCAAAAGTGTGACCAGTAGAGCGTTAACAAATTAAACGACCAGTAGTGTGTTAACAACTTAATATCATTGTCGGATACGCACGTTTGATTAACATGTACCATGACATAACTGATAAATGTAAATGGTTCGGCCGTTGGTATCCGACGATGCTAAATGTGGACAGACCACAGTTGACATAAGATGGATGACAGACATTCAACAATTCTATAAGCTCACCCTGAGCCAGCCTATAAGTTTCACCACTGGGACCAGGGTACATGTGTATATACTCTTGATATGCGTAATAGGTGTCTTTGATAATTTATAGGGAGTCTACAGTTTCCCCAACATCAATACCGCTTGCATTCACAAAATTACATTTTATCCAATTTGCTGGTCGTAAAAGTTCTAGTCACGTACATGTACGGCTATCCAGGACACACTGAATTGTCTTGCCGTACGGAACTTTTCAAAATTATATAAAAGTGGAAAATGCATATGTTATTTTAGCTGCATGCTCTGGCTTAATTGTCAATATCCCAAGTTCGATGAATTTGTATTGGTCGAATGGTCGAGTGGCCAAATCGTTATTTTACCACTTACTGAATCAGGCAATAAACGCTGAATTTCGAGACTTATTTCTTTTCAAAAATCTAAGGCATACAAACATGAAAGCAAAATCATGTGTAAAAGAATATTCAAAAGAATAGCTTACGAAATTTCTATTTTTTCAAAGCCACGATAATTGCCAAGTTTAAAAAAGCATTTCCGGTATACGCATTTAAATTTTGTTACGGAGCTACATACTCATTTTAGGACAATTTATTGCATTAATGTAAATCAGGAATTTTATTTGAAATATCTATATTATATAATTTTGACGACTTTACTATATTTATGATGTATTCATTAATGCTTGCATGCGCATGTGTGTATGCGAAGTTTAACGTGTATGTATATAATACGATTTTATCAATGAACTGTTATTTTTTGCTTTCTGTAAAGGAATGTATTATTTTATGAAAATGATCGATTTGGGACTTTCAAAGCATTTAAACAACTTTGCAAACAATATTTTAATGATGTGTAATCGGAATACAACAATTCTGCAGAATCAAGAAATAGTTTCTATAGCGGTTTTCATCCGGAAGTAGATAAACCTATTAAGCCCGTGAAGAATAGCTTATTTTGAAAAAATTTTCGCTGCAGACTCGATTTGTACACATGGCAATAGTTCTACTCATCGAAACTATTGCTATGTTTTCAGAAATAATAACACAACTCTGAACAAGCTATGTAAACAGAATTGTTGTTATGTGAGAATAATGTTATTAAACTGTATTCAAAGAGCGATATAATATTAAACTAAATAAAATCTTAATAAAAAGATAATAATGAATACAATTTATACTTATAACAGCCTATTATGACTTTCACTTTTTAAATCTGTGTCTGTTTTATAATGTAAGATTATAATTTGTATAACGATGGAATAGTGATGTTCTTGAAAACATCATTTGTACTAGCAGTGTTTGTTTATACAATATTTGCTCGTAAGTACAATAAAGTAATAATGCATTGTCATAATTAACGGTTTAGGTATAAAATTGAATTTATTATGAAGTTCAAGTCATGGATTCATGTAATTGAAAGCGTGAATATTTTCTGCTTTAATCTTGACTTCATAAAGATTAATTCGTGAAAATGGTAGGTTTCAATGTTACCACCTTTCGTAAGTATTTTTTTTTTACATTTGAGGTACTTTACTGAATGTTTGATACTTTGATACATTTTAAATTTTCCTACAGATAATCATTATTTACTTTTATAGACATGATTTACGATTCGTTCTTCTTATTGCAAAGAATATAATAGAGTTTATGAGTTTAAAGCGATTTTGTTCTTTTTTGACCGTATCAATCCGAATATTTTTAGTCTAAAATAACCTTTAAAAGGGAGTCACTGATGCATACCGTATATATTCAAATCACAACAGAGAAAGAGTAAGTTTTGAACAGTTTTATTCGGTAGTGATTAATCAGGTATTCATAAAAGATATATATATATATATTACATATTTTGTTTGTTTTGGTGAAAGTTAAGTGATTTTCTTAAATTTCTTGATTTTCGCCTTTTTATACAGGAATAACGGATATTGTAGTAATTCTTTCAATATAGGTATCGCTTCTTTTTGTTCAAGCTTAAATGTGCAATTAAAATACTGCATGATACACTCGATATGTCTAACATATTGTATTGTAATGAATACAAATCACTTATACAAGATACATACCTTTAGTACCAGTTTGGTTTTAAGCTAAAGATTTAACAAAACAAAGAGAAGAATTAAAGCAGCATCGTTTTGTTATGATAATACATATATATTCCCGGAAATTGATCACATTATTATCTATATATAGAATTCTCAATTTTAGATTTGCACAAATGAATACCGGAAAATGTTGCTTAAGGAAACGTCAGCATTTATACTACTATTGATTGTGGATATTGTATTTAGTGGTAAGTTATTTTACTTCATGATAATTTGTACTGTAAGAATACAATTGTGTGAATTTCTGTTATTTTTTTCTTTTAATTTCGATTATTTCGAATCCATCTATAAAATGTTGACTTTTTTAAAGTCTATCTAATCTTGATTCCTAATTTTTATGGTCAAGTTAAGAATTTTATATTTTTATAAAATATCTGTCTTGGCATATTTGTGGTTCTTTACATTGTAAATGTGAAAATATATATAACTAAAAATATGAAAATAGGCAAAAAATATATATTTACAGAATGTTCTTTTGGCTGCCAATCATGTTCTGAATCAACTTGCAAAAGTTGTGAAGATTCTTACTTTTTAACAAATGGCGTCTGTTCACCATGCCCCGGGGATTGTGAAAGATGTAACAACTGGGATGAATGTACTTTATGTAAGCCAAATAAGCATGGTTTGTATGCAAGATGTGATTTTAATTGTGATAGTAATTGTCTAAATAATGAATGTCAAGTTGAAATTGGGTATTGTACCCAATGTAAGCCTGGTTTCTATGGGCTTATTTGTCAACATAATTGTAGTTTATGTGAAAATGAACGTTGTGATTTACGTACCTGCGCGAGTGGTTGTAATACTGGATATTATGAGTATAAAACAGATGTCGAAACAGTATGTCAAAACTGTCCGACAAATTGTAAACATTGTACGGATGGGAAAGCATGTTATATTTGCAATGATGGTTTTAGTCTTTATAAGTTTAATGACAATGTTCATTGTTTGGCATGTTTACAAGGATCGCAATGTCCGGACTGTAATATTCAAGGTTGTAACCAGTGTCAAATACACAATGATTCGTTAGTCTGCGCTGATTGTCCAGAGGGACAGATATTCAATGGTAAAACATGCGAATCACACACTACATTATGCCAAGAAGAATGTTCTACGTATTGTGATAGTACTGGAATATGTCAAGGGGAATGTAATGGGGGCTGGACTGGTGAAAAATGCTCCGAAAGATGTAACAGACAATGTTTAAAGTGCTCAAAAGATAACGGAAATAGTTGTCTACTGTGTGAAGATAACTTTTACTCAACCGATTGCAGTTTAGCCTGCAACCCGATATGCATAGTAATAAGTGGTAAACATACATGTAAACCTGCAGACGGATATTGTTTAAACGGATGTAAACAAACATATTGGGGCGATACCTGTGATAAATCTTGTCCTGGTGGATGTAAAGATCTTAAATGTGATAGAAACAACGGTACATGTACAGATGGATGTAAGGATGGACTGACTGGAGATGAATGTACTCAAACTATCACAATAGGTTAACAATTTGCATATGATAACTGTCATAAAATAATTTTAAAATAATTAATTTATAAGTGACATTTATGGATTTAATCAAATTCATAATTACAATAAATATCGAATATTTATAATTATTCTCTCTTATTATAGTGGCGTAAAAGGGATATTGGAAATACTTTTTTGTCTTGTTTACACGTGTTAGCATTGAACGTTGGTAACTTTTACGTGCACACGTAATACGTGTTAACGTTTTAACTCGTGTAAAGTATCAATAAGATATAATGCCGAATAATACTCATTCTCACTTAAATCTATTACGGTGGCATTTGAAAGATATTGATCCGAAAGAATTATTAAATCATTTTATTTGGCCGGAAATCGGACCCTCAATGTTGAGATTACAAATTTTGCACGTACACAGATTAAGCTTGGCGAGCTAGCTTGACATAAATGACTGTTTTTGCATTTAATGACAAACGAATTGTTCCAGTAATCATTAGACTAAAGTTAGAGTAATATCTATTACACATCAATGGTATATCTTCAGAAACATCAGTGACAACAACAACTACAGCAACAAAGTCAACCGAATCTGTTACACAACAACAAACGTTTGTGCATCATGGCGATAAAGCTAAAAACTTTACCATTGGTTATTTCTCTGGATTCGGATCTTGTGCTGCCATAGGAGTATTTGCTGTATTGTTTTACCTTATTAGACGAAGGTGAATGTTTTCATAAATTTAATGCTTAAGTTTACAGAATGTTTGTTCTTAAATGTAAAACAAATTCTCTTTACTGGTGAATTTTAATAATAATGATAATAAACATGATTTTGTGTTGTCGCTGTTTTATTATGATTTAATTGTTTATTTTGTACTATCAAGTTTATTATGTCTATTGTTACATGTTTGCATTTTTACCTAATTCTTAAAACTTAAAGGAGATAAGATCAACTCCGAAGAGTCCATTAGATATTTAGGTGCATTTCTAGACCAAACACTAAATTTCAAGGAACATGTCAAACGAAAGTGCCGTACTGCAATGTTGAACTATCTTAGAATAAAACGTATCCGAAAATACCTCACCAAAGAAGCAGCTGAAATACTAGTAATAGCACTCGTAATGTCACACTTGGATTATTGCAATGTCATTCTTTATGGTGTATCCGATTTTGAATTGAAAAAAATGCAACGTATTCAAAACATGTGCGCTAAGTTAGTTCTGCAACGAAAGAAATTTGACCGTTCAAGGCAAGCATTGTTCGACCTTCACTGGCTGCCCATCAAATCTAGAATCGAATATAAAATTCTGACTTTTGTATACAATTGTTCAATCGGTCATGCTCCAAAATACCTTTCTGAACTCCTAACCAAACAAGTACCAAATACCCGACTACGTTCAGCTAGAACCTCTGAGAACTGCTACGTTATTCCATTCAATAAAAGAAAAACATTTAGTGACAGAAGTTTCGGAACTATTGGTCCAAAATTGTGGAATCCGCTGCCATTAGAGTTGAAACAATCTAAAAATATTGATGTATTTAAGAGAAATCTTAAAACACATTTTTTCAGAAAGTTTGAATCACTATTTTAAAATCTGAAATGAGATAAACATGAGTAACATATAACTGATGACTGACAGTGTGATGAATGTACAATGTAAATGAATGTTTTATTCTTTTTAATCTATTTGTAATCAAGTTACATGTATGTAAATAATCTTATCTCATGCTACATGTATATCAGTTTTATCATTTTATGGTCTCTAAATTTTTTTAAAAATATGTTAATTGAAATTGTATGTAAAAGCTTTTATTTCATTTGATGTTGATCCACATATTCTTATGCATTCACAATTTTATTCTTATTATATTATATGTACTGTACAACGCCGTTGAATATTGTTAAATAGAAACAGGCGTTTAATTAAATAAAAAGTTTCAAGTTTCAAAACTACACGTAAAATGTAAAAATGTATAATAATATTATTAATTTTATTATTTAATACAGGTATCTTGCAAATAAAACGTTTAAAGATAATAAACCTAACATTGAGAATCCAACATACTATAACACTAGAACTGATTTTGAAGCTGTAAATGCTGAATCAGCTGATCATGACGTGACGAATAATTACGAGAGTTTGAGTAATAACAGGACCACAGATAATGTATACAATGGTAATTGCTATATTATTCACTTGATAAATCTAATATTAAATAATGTTTAATTTAAGTACTTGATTTAATTATTGTTGTTCTAATATTTATTTATTGATTGATTGATTGATTGATTGATTGACTGATTGATTGATTTATTTATTTTCAGATCTAAGAACAACATTGTCATAGACGTAAGGGAAATGAGTTTTAGTGATTTTCTAGTGAAACCAACAAAATGTATTGTTAGACTGAATTTTGTTGTTTCTCTTATTCGATACACATTTTATGGTGGTGATAAAAGCTTTATTTCCTTAATTCAAATATAGCACTTACGACAACAAGTTGGCAGTTGGTCTCTTTGTGCGTAAATACTTTAAACCCTTGAAGCACATTTTGCTCATTCACATGTTCATTTTTTCTAAATGCTTTATCTTTAGTAAAATACATTGTTTATATTTAAGCGGTAGGTAAAGTTCAACTTCCTCAAAGCAAACGTTTCAGAAGTACTCAAAGATTGCTTCGATGTAGTATCACCTGCCTGTCAGTGTACTGCAAAAGTAAGAGAGGATAAAAGAACATGGATTGCCTACTATTATGATTTAGATACAGGAAAAGTTATATATTAAACATATTCAAACCTATATACATAATGATTAGAAATATGTCTAAGCTTAGAGCACAGCAGTTTCATTTTCAAGTTAGAGTACTGTCTGAATACTTTAACATATAAAGTCAGAAACTAGTCTTATTCAAAATCTTAATTAGTTTGTGTTTCAAAGGAAATTATGACTCCTTTGTAATTACTCATTCAATATGTGAATAGAAATGCACATGAACATTAACATTTTCCAGATTAAATCGCGCCTATTGTATTTATTAACTTTTCCTGGAAGATGAATTTAACCAAAGTATAAAAGCACTAACTATAATTTTATGAAACGGTCTTCTGTTAGTCAAAAAAGAAAAAGTGCTCTTACATCTTAGGACTTTAGGTATTTTTCTCCGAACTACTCCTCAATGACTATGGTGCAATTTAATGGATTTTCCAGTTAAAGACGATTTGAAGCTGAGTAATCTTCCTTATATAAAAATGTATTTTAGTCTGTTATTTATTTTGTGTCTCCCGCTACACAGTAGATACAACATGCTACAAAGAAGGACCATTTAGGGAACAAACTGTCAACTCACCCCTCAATATACCTGCTGAATTGGCTACCATCAGGCGACACAGTCGTATGATCACTTAGCGCTCTTTGTTCTTGTTTACTGTATACCGCATTACATTGAATGGCACAAAGTGTCACATTGAATGTTCCATGATAACCACCGTATAAACACACCTTATTATGCTTCTAATTTTAGAAATAAAACATTTAAAAAACAGTCAGATGTAAATGGTAATTCACAAAAAAAAAAACAGGAACATTAACCCTGTTAAAATACTTGCAAATTTTATCTTCACGTTATGAAAATATCAATGGGGCTATACCTAGGTCATTGATTCCTTTATATTCAAAATTTTATTTGCTATGCACCACTTTAAAAACGTATTATATTCCAAAATGTGTTAGCTTTATTATGGAATGAAATTCTTTTTTCTTCTAGCAATATATTGTAAGTCCGAATATCATTATGGTGAATAATTAAAATATATACAAACAATTTATTGTAGCATGTAAAGTACGACTAATGTGTTTCAACATTAATGTACCTTGTAAGCCTTTTTATAATTAAACGGTTTTTCTCGAATATTTAATTTGTTTATTAATTTGAAAATAACATTGTATTTATACAAGGTAAACTTTTACCTGTGATGGTGATTTCCTTACTTATAAATATATTAGAGACCGTTAAATTATTACCAAATGCAAGCATTGTCTCTATAGGCTTATACGTCAAACATGTAGTTTATGTAGACATGGTCTTTCAGATTGATGTAAATGCTCTCAAGGTAGATCTGGGAATTTCAGTATAAAATCGGTATAAAAACAACAGTATGTCAAACTTTTTCGACGGATTGTAAACATTGTACGGATGGCTAAACATGTTATGTATGCAATAACATTGTTTGTCACTGGGCATCATGTTTTGAGGATCGGATTACTTACAGTCGACATTGTATTAAGAGACCACTCAAAGGACTGTTAAAAGTGGTCTCTTAATAGAATTCTTGAAAATTCGAGGCTCAAACTTCTTGATTTTTTTACACTACCCAATTTCAAATTCAATAAGTTTTTTTAGAGATCTAGAATTTTTCGTCGAAGGGTAATATTTATTGGGGGTACTACATGTATTTTATAAAGCATCGGATTAGCACTTACACCATCAGGTTTAACTGAAGTATGTTTCTGAAATGTTTAATGTTTCACGATTTTTTCCGACTACAAACCATGATATTTGCTATTTACTCAGACTTAATTCTACGCACGATTTCCTCATTCGATTTCTCCGGTCTTTTTAGATGTCTGTCATTTTTTCGCTCGTTCCAACGTCATTTTCGATTTGATTTCCTGAAAGGGAGGTCACTCTTAGCACATGACAAAACTGTTCAAATGCGGTGTTGTGGTACGTTATTGCTCTGACGAAATATGCCACAGTAAACATTATGATCGGAAAAATGTTTTTTTCGTTTCCGATTTTGAAATGATTGAAATTGTTATTCAATTCGTTTTAAACGACAATTTTTTGTGACGGTCATTTAATAGATACGTTAACACCTAATTTCGTATATTTGGCCGACATTCAGTGGACGCTGGCCGCGATATAAAAATGTCGTTAATGGAATTTACTTATATAGTGAAAATCATCGGGAGGGATTTTAGGCCGCTGCTTAATAAAAAAAGTCGCTTAATAAAGGGGGACGCAAGTAAGATGCCGACTGTATTGCATTATTCAAAGTTGTACAGCAAGTGTCAAGTGTTGTGTGGCTGCCGTTAAAAAATGCCCCGTACTTCACTTTAATGTTGTTATATTTTTCTGGTCCTTCGGAATCACTAAGTCAAGCACTTTAAAAGGGACTCCACTGAGTTTTTTTTTTGACATGGTGGGACTGAAAATACTTTTTCCAGATAAATGTACCATTTCATGTAGGTTAACACCACTAATATTTGTGCAAGATTTCAGATCATTCGCGCACTTCGTTTTTCAAGAAGAATTATCCAAATTGTAAAAAATGACCCAAAATGAAAAGCGTTTTAACACTTTTCACTCAAATCGGGCTAAGAAAAGCATAAAAATACTATTTTCAATTTATTTCAAAGTATATTTCTTAACTATCTTTGCATATATTTATGTTTAAAGTGCCCCAGCTCATTAATGTAAGAAAATCAAATAGTATGTACTTAGGCTTTTAAACCTCAGTGGAGTCCCTTTAAGTGTTGATAATTGAGTACAGCTCAAGCCGGTGATAGAGGGCACAAGGGATGTTGCACTTTTTCATTATCCCTCATGTACAGACTCAATCAAACAGAGTCTGCAATTTTTATGTAATTTTGCTGTTTTAATGCTTCCGAGGGGTCACCTTTGTCTGATATTTGATCAATGTCAGATATAAGTTCCAACTTATTCGTTGGTCTGCATTTGTTGTAAAATGTATGAATGTGAAAAAGTACAACAAAGTAGAAAAAAAGAATCCGCAAAATAACGCTAAAAAAGATAAAATTGAAAATGTTACAAGCTCGGTTTGATTGCGCCAGTTGTTGGGCGGAACTGGGATGTTCGAGTTACCGGCATCGCCCCTGACTAAAGAGAAAATGACGATACTTGTACATCACAACTGTGACCCTATCTTAACAATATCCTGTTTATTTTACCGCCCATAATGTATGTCAATGACGGTCAAAGAATATATGGAAATGCAGACATATCGTGTTCAAAAGGATGTATACAAAGCTCCTGGGGCTAAACCTGAAATAAGTCCATAAGATCACGCATGTGACAGAAAACACATTATATCTTCTGTATAATGTAAAGACGAACACACCTGAGACAAATCTTTCAAATTTTTACGGGAGTAAGAATAAAATTATATCTATACACTAGTATATTTGTTGGAAATAATGTTAGTTGTATAAAGACATTTGTTACGATATATTTTTTTATAAGAAAACATCCATAGATTTAAGAACCAGGTAAACATTAAGAATAAACACTTGAACGATAACGTTCGTTTGTTTGTTGTTGATTTTTTGTTGAGACAAAGCCATATACATTGTAGTACATGGCTATATAAAGGGAATTTACAAAGAGTAAAAAGTCTCGATTTGATTGATCCCGTTCACGCATGGACGGTACTGGAAATTGCAAGCTAGCACATACTCCGATCAAATTATTGCAAGGAAAAAAAGTTTTGAGTTATAAGTGATTTTTTTCCATTTTCGACCATATCAATCTGAATATTTTCGAGTCTTAAAACAACATTTAGAATTGCTATGAAAGGTGTCACTGATGCATACCGTATCTATTCAAACTACAACTTTTAACGAGGAAGTTTTAAACAATAGTCGGGTCGTTATATACATCTTGTATATATTTTGTTTGTTTTAGGAATGTTAAGTGATATTTTTTAACTTCTTTTTCGCTTTTCTAAACAGGAATAACGGATAACATTTATTTTCACCTGTGATAGTAATTGTCTAAACAGTGAATGTCAAGATGATACGGGATTTTGTACACTATGTAAGCCTGGTTTCTATGGAAATCAATGTCAACATAATTGTAGATTTTGTACAAATGAACGTTGTGATTTACGTACATGTTTGAGCGGTTGTAGGGCTTGTTATTATGAGTATAAAACCGGTCCCGAAAAAATATGTCAAACCTGTCCGCCGAATTGTAAACATTGTACGGATGGGTCGTGTTTCCAATAATGTCAATGTCCGGACTGTATTATTCAAGGTTGTAACGAGTGTCAAATACACAATAATTCGTTAGTATATGCTGATTGTCCAGAAGGACAAATATTCAATGGTATAACATGTGGATCACAAACATTATTGTGCTCACAAGAATGTTCTACGTATTCTGATAGTAATGGAATATGTCCAGGAAAATGTAATAAGGGCTGGATTGGTGACAAATGTTCGGAACAATGTAACGGCAAGTGTTTAAAATGCTCAAAAGATAACGGAAATAGTTGTCTACTGTGTAAAGGTGGTTTTTACTCAATCGATTGCAGTTTAGCCTGCAACCCGGCATGCATAGTGCAAAGCGGTAAACATATATGTAAAAATGCAGGCGGATATTGTTTAAACGGATGTAACCAAACCTTTTTTGGGGCAATACCTGTGAAAAACCTTGTCCTGGTGGATGTAAATATCTAGCATGTGATAGAAACAACGGTACATGTACGGATGGATGTAAGGATGGACTGAATGGAGATAAATGTACTCAAAGTATCACAATCGGTAAACAATTTGTATTTGATTACTGCCAGGAATTCATTCAAAATACTTTATTTATAAGTAACTCCTTTGGATTAAATCAAATTCATAATTACCATAAATATCGAGCAATCTATAATTGTTCACCCTTAATATGGTGGTGTAAAGGGATATTGGGAATATTTTTTGGCTTGTTTACATGATCGTGTAAGTTTTAATTTGAACGTTAGTAACTACATGTATAACGTGCACACGTAGTAGTTTATACGTTTTAACGTTTTAACTCGTGTAAAGTAGTGAGAAGATATAATGGCGTATAATAATCATTCCCATTGAATTTCATGTATAGTATATATTACGGTGGCATTTAAGAGATATTGATCCGAAAGACTGTTTTAGTCATTTCCAGCCCGGGAATCGATTCCTCAATGTTGAGTTTAAATTTTTTCGCAGTTTATGGCGAACAAATTGTTCTAGTTATCATTAGACTATAGTTAGTGTAATATCTATCACAATTCAATGTTATATCTACAGAACCATTAGGGACAACAACAACAATAACATCAGACGAAACTATAACACAGCAACAAACATTTGTGCGACGTGACGATAAAGCTCGTTATTTAACCATTGGTTACTTCTCTGGATTCGGATCTTGTGCTGCCATAGTAGTATTTGTTATATTGTTTTACATAATTAGACGAAGGTGAATGTTATTTCACTAATTTAATACTTTACAAGATGTTTGTTCTTAATGTAAAACAAAATATTCTCTTTGCTGATGAATTTTAATAATAATGACAATAAACATTATGTTATTGTCGCTTTTTAATCATGATTTAATTGTTGTGTTTTAAAGATATACTATGCTCATCTTTGGGTAAAATATTTTTATCTTAGAAATGTATTGAAATCCATGAAATTCTTACTGAATATGTTTAATTTGAATAAAATAATGAATAAACTATGTATGGGAAGCTGCATTCCCTATTACAGGTCAAGTAAAGTTGGTCTTTTCTTAAAAAAACTGCCAGTTTTTTTAATGACACTATATATTCATATTGTGACCACCTATAGTGTGTAGAGTTCAAAACATAACATATCTACTTTAAATGAAGTCGAAACATGTTTATTTTATACATACAAAGAGACTGTGTAGCAATTATTAATATTTTTAAAAATCAAATTTGAGCATAGTATATCTTTAAGTACTATCAAGTTAATTATGTCGGTTGTTACTTGTTTGCATTGTTACCTATTACTTAAATTTACTTTATATTTAATAATGTATAATACCATAAAAACTTTATTATTTAAAACAGGTATCTGGCAAGTAAAACGCA